AAAACGGTTAACGTTAGTTGCAATTTATCTAAAATTTCACTCAAACTTATCTACTGACAAACTCTATTTAATACTGACTTGTGTTATATAGAAGCTTTAGTTAATCCTTATCAATTCACCTGAAAGTACAACGACATACAGTTCCGCCTAATGGACAGTTTCCAGAACCTGATGGTAGGTTCCAACACATACACATTGACATCGTTGGACCGTTACCACCATCTATGGCTTCACGTACATTTTAACGTGTATTGACAGATTTCCGAGATGGCCAGTAGCTTGTCCCTTACCTGATATTTCTGCTGAAACTGTTGCAAAGAGCATCATGCAAAATTGGATTTCCAACTTCGGAGTGCCCACCATTATTACTACAGACAAACATGGATGACCGCTTAGTTCATCAAACATGAACTAATCCGTTGTGCTCTGAAAATCAAAATCTAGTCACATACTTCAACTGAGAACATTGCGAACAACTCACTGAATGAATGCCACCTATTACTAGTAAGTATTATTATGCATCTAGGTAGAATACGAGTGGTTTGAATGGATTTTATTTACCATCTCGATTTCGAACGTTAGGGTGGGTGTTTTTACTTACTTCATATGTATACACCACCGTTTGTTGCTAAGTTATCGTCAACACCTATTCCGCTTTCATGCTACACTCCAAATCTTCTGAAAATCAAATTTAATACTTCACGGATTCACTTATTCCATTGATGACAGCATTCAAGGTTGATTTTTGACCAACTGACATCGATCAGGTGATCACTGAAAGCCTTGGAAACCCTGGGAACTTGACTGCAGCCAGTAAAGCGGTAGACCTACATTTACTACATTAAGAGAGTCGATAATCATGCATGATAACATGGTCACCTAATAACCAGTCGGTTGTGGGTTCAATCTATCGTGAGCTGATTCTTACGTGCTGCTGATGGGTGCCGAAAAGAAATCCAGATGCATTCCAGTCGCCTTGCTTTTTCGAACAACTATCTTCCTGATGTACCATGGTCAGGGTGAAGTCGTCTTCAACTCCGTGGTTTCTCCACGAAGTTGTTTCTGACTAAATCGATGCTAACACCTTCCAGAAATGGCCAGTAGCATTGTTCTCTAACACATCCTGAAAGGACGCGAACTCATCTCATACAAGATTTCAATTCAACTGGAAAACGAATATTCTCACTGGATCGAAAGTTCCCAATCAGGGCAGCCACAGGACACTCAAAGAAACCACCTGTTTCATGTGCAAATACACGGATGACAGTCAACTCAGCACCAAGATATCAACCAACCTTACATCTCAAGCAATTGTTACTAACACCAAGATTCAGTGTTCAAAATCGAAGGTCATTTCAATAGTGACACGTACAGACAAGTGATGAAGTTGACATGGTCTCTACTAACAGCACGATTTCGACCGAATGCCTCATGCCTAGTTTCGACAACAGAACCTTAAAACCATCTGGAGACAGAATACTCCTATAGAGAAGGTATACCGACGACACCTTTAAAGCTTTTCATAGTGATTCTGGTAGACATTTCCTATATAACAGGTATTCAATAGTTCTCATCCTTCAACTGAATCAAAGACTCCACTACTGCATGTAGAATTCACAAGCAGAGACGACAGGATTATAGAAACGTCATTCTACAGAATACATTCACGGAACAGCCAGACAACAAATTTTCACCCGCTCATCGTATCAGATGAGTGTGAAGCATCCACTGATTAAAAGAAGAGGTCTGAATTCTCAAAATGATCATGGTGGGATACGCGTAGTTGACAGGTCTTGCGGAGGACATCAAACGAAGACCACAATGAGGACAATGCAGTTGAGTGACAAAGAAACTACTATGCATGAGCCTAAATGTAACGATGGAAGTCACCTCCCATATCTTGAAGAGGAGAAGAATCCGAAGTTCACTAAAGAAGACTTTCACTACACCAACCATGAAAGTGATACCCTCTAACCAGCCACCCATTAATCACAAACAATCCGACGGTACATCTCCTGCATATGACCACTCCAATGTTCATTTCACCTACTTCTGTTGTGTTATCTTCCTTGTTTATACCCTCAGTTGTAGGATTTTGCCAGTTCTACCGAATTTTCCGTTTATACTAGTCCGTTTCATGATCACTGACATAATTTCTTTTCTCAATATATGACGCCGCCTCAATCATTTCACATATCCATCATTCAATAATGAGCTAGCTATTCACCACAGTTTGACTATCTCAAGTTTACCGGATTCTATTTTCTACTGCCACTCAACAAACACGTTCCACAACCTTCAACTGACTTCGCAGTTCGCCTTGCGTTGGTGGCACGGCGCTAGAATGCACGCTAACCACAGTAGTGGTTCTGGGATCGATCCCCAGCCGCCGACAAACTCCATTACCTCGCTAAGGAAGCAATAAAATTGATAAAGACGGAAGGCTGGGCATCAGTCTAGCAACCCAATCCCGTTAAAATAAATACCACTGCTACCGAAACTTCAAAACTCTAGCTTGAACTCACCCTATGTTCCACTGAGAACGTAGGGTAATACAGTTTAAAGAAAACAAACATTCTCTGAATCTATGATAGCGAACCACCATCATTATCACCTCGCATTTCACAATATTTTCAAATCAAATTCACCACAATACATTCGACAAACAACTACTAATTATTTTGCCATCATCAAACTAATCGGTAATTCTACGCGTAAATGAAACTGTCACATTACTGGGTATTATTATAACAGGAATAAATAGCTTACTCTGCGATTTGTCAGGTCCTAAAGATAATTCCGTCCATTTCATTGACTTCTAATCACCAGTATGGTCCACAATGTCCAATGTGAGGACAGGTACTCAACTGTGACATTGCATCCTCGTGATGCAATATCTCACAAACTGGAAGAAGTTCGAATTCACAGACCATCGAATCCCCACCCAGATTCTGGATGGTAACGTATGAATTCAGTGTCCTGGGTCCTATCATCAATGTAGTCACAGCTGCGTATTCCTAAAGAAACAATTGTCCACCACTCTACTATTTCCTACAGTCATCTAGCTGACTTTTGTCTGAGATGTAGAAATCATCCTTTAATCCTGCGTAAGTCCACCAATCGAATGTCACCTCCACCCGATGATCAACTATGACTAACAGCTTAACTCTTGTGACACTTGAAAATTACTCTTTCGTGCATCAGATGCTCATCGTACCTGTTTGTCATTCTTTATTTACGTAAGCGTTGCTCATGATATATATTTCACTTCACACATGTTTCACAGGTGTTTCCGTCGTCGTCTGATAGACAGTTGTTTCGTATCGATTGATTTTCCACGAACCCTGCAATTCTGAGTCTCAAATACGGACAACGTTTGAATAAAATTCACCTATGTTTCAAGTGAGGGCTAAGCTCAGACATTGTGTCGTCGATATTATTAACTGTGAACATCAACATCTATAACATGGACAAATCTCAATGCATAGTTTGAAAGTTATTCGACGAATTCCACTCCACACCAATTTTCACAACAAGCTTTAGACATTCTTCTCTCCAACAGAGAATTACTTCAACTCACCATCGAATATTCTTCACCTGGACTCTGTTGTTCACTGTCACCAGGAATATAACATTCACGCATACTCCTTAACAGCCCCTACACTTATCCGAGAAATGAGAAACAATGCACAGTTCAACCGACATCTCCCCACAATATTAGGGGAGATAAAAACAACAACAACAACAATGTTAGCGCACTACTATGCTCGGTGCAACTGTCACAGAACACTAGACAGTCGAGTCCCCCTCTCGTGAACGAAATACTGAGATGGCAGGGGAAAAGAAAGACGTTTGAGTGCCATCAGAATCTTCGACATCAGCCTAATGAATAAAATTTGAATTCTCAGAGACAGCATGACTAAAAGACAATATTCTATGGTGCCGCAAAATATTTTGTTCATTGTTATAGCGTTTCCAATGAACACAAACACTATCGACATCACCAGTGCTCTCCAAACATCTGATGACATATACAGGGCTTTTCCAAATTTATATTGCTAATCATTTGAGGATATGGCGTTTCCAAGTGGTCAAACTGCTTTCAATCTGTGTTGACATTTCAATTCAAGATTGAAATTCATACAAGGAGAATATTTTCTCCACAATGAACAATATACACTCTGTAAGTATATCAGCCTAATGTATTCAAATGTCAATCAACACAATCACTCATCCTACTATTCAAATCATTTCCACTCACAAACATCATAAGCTAACTCTGAAACACAAATATCAGGCTTTCTCGATCATGAAGTTAGAACACAAAATGCATCATAAACTCACTCACCCAGTCTTCCATACAATTCCCAAACACTAATCCAACGACAATGAAAAGACAGACTAGACAGAATCAAGTGGATATTCATTCGAAATATTAAAACTGTAGTTTGACAGAATTTTAAAACATTCATTCTACATGTTGAGATTAAAACGTGACTAATAATCTCTCATTTTGAGGAGAAACTTTTCCGAATCAATTCCTGCGTTTGACCATTAACGTCATACTGATGCCAACAACCTTCCAGCATGACAAGTTTCAGTGAAAATTTGTCTGAACCACTGCATCTCTTAATCAACGCATCTAGTACAGAAAGTTCAGTTGGCATGGAAATCGCATCCAAAATCACCAACAAAATATTCTCCCATCGATCACTGTAATCCAAGTACTGCTTCTCACGTGTTTCTCCATTCATACGCAATTGAGGATAAAGCAGTAGTTCGCTTCTCGATTCAAAGATGCTAAGATAAGTGATCAGTCGACCAAACAACTTGCTCCCTGTGTCACTGATTGTTGTCCTCGGTGAACCAGTCAAATACTCACCATCTATATGATAATGAAATGGATCATCAACTATTTTCCAGTAAAGCTGTCGTAATTGAATCAGCTCAGAAAAATTATCAAAGTAGGGGATGCACACAGATCGAACCATTCTTCTGGCTATGGCGTGGGCGATTCGTGTGTGTGTGAAGCCAGCCGGGATATCATCGAAATACTTATTGATATCCATTTTATCAAGTGACTGCTTGTAGCCGATCCTCTTCACAGGTCGAATTGGGTGCTTAAATTGTCGGCCTTTCGTAGCCATACCGAAAACCACCAATTTTGATACCCAATGACCAGTGATCAGCATTGCCTTGGTCTTATCCGACTCATCTGTCAGACCATATTTCTCCATTACACCACTTCCAAGTACTCTCCACGCATAACTGTCCTTCCTGAACCCGCTCGGTGTGTAGCGATTCTCCTCAAAGTAATTGACCACAGAGGCAATCATCACCGAGATACATGCACTCGCCATCTCAGCTCTCAACACACCTCTCATCTCGGAGCTACTCGCCACATTCTCCACCGTCCAACTACCATAATACCAATAACCATCACAACGATCATCTACAACTGTATCGGGTAGTGATATATTCTCTCTTTTTGCATTTCTTTTCGTATCTGCTTGTGTTGATGAAGTAGTCAGCTCTCCAAGAAGTCCATGGAGAATCACTGCACTCGCTGCATTGCTTAACCATACGCGTAATGGCTGTGATACACTCTCACCAACAGACTTGTACACATAAGCAGCCGCTGTGGCAGCACACCTTATCCATGATTTCTTAGCATGATTCGGATCCCCTGCATCACACTCAGGTATAAACTTCTTGTCAATCATTAACACGAATTCATGATTAATGCCACGAGAAGGAAAATCTGACAGCATACAGTCCAAATCTTCATCATGTCTCAAGTCATCTATCAAAGAACTGGCCAATTCTTCAGTCAACTTCTCCATTGAATTTGTTGGATTCACTTGACTGTTATCACTACAATCCAGTAATGTAGGAAATGATCAAATATATTTGGTTAATGTCAATAAGTTACTGTGTGATGAAGGCTAATATAAGCGCTAATTCTGATGCACCAGTCGACCAATCAGACGTCAGACCTTACCAGTCACCTATGTCTAACAAACATCCTCTCATGTGATTCGTTGGCTGCATTTACCTTGTATGTGAAGTAGATCATTGGATGTGTAAACTCAATTAGATTGGTAGGCCAATACAATGTTAGGTGACAAGGTGTGAGATTTGATTTTGAACAGGTGTAGGGGACTGTGTAGCGAGCGCAATAACAAAACGTATGCGAATAAGACTCCAAGTCAATGAGATGATAGTGTAACAATATATTATCAAAAATGCAGTAATGAGTTATATCAATTAAAAGGTTACTTGGATATGCTGTTAAAGTCGACTGCTAGAAATTATTAATATAATCCACAGAAGCGATCATTGTTAGAATCATGTCTACTGGTAGAAGCTGTGTGCCGGTTGTAGAGTTGTCTTCGGATAAGGATAATAGGTTCCTGCAATAAATCCAAAGTATACAACATGGTATGAAGACAGCAAGTAGACAGTAATGACCAGTGAGAAGGCGAAGCTACCAAGAGTACACTGTATTTCGGATAGTACTAGGAAGTTATTTGTATTTAAACATGAATCGTTTTAAACAAAAGTCATGTACAATGTCTCTAATTTCAACATCTAAGCAAAAAGTGTACAATCATATCGGTACGTACTCCACACAAGTCTAATAATTTAATAATTCCTATGGTAACATTAAGAAGACAATATCCAGCTAAGAGACTATTTTCGACAAAATTAATATCAAGCTATACAATCGTATATACATACATATATGGTTTATTTGAAGAATTTATATTCCATGAGGAATTTCGTATTTCGGAAAGTGACAAACAGAAACAGTCAGGTGATGTAGTCTAAATAAGTTGGGCGTCAGTCCCCTTAAAGTTGCGTAGTTCATGGTAAATGCTGACAGAATGCCCTCTGTTGTCCTTACCATAAATGTAAACATGATGTTTCCTTAATAGTTGACAATAACACTTCGATTCTACTCCTGTTCTCTCTGCTCTGTAATTCCTTCAGTCTTCACTGCTAAACGAGAATTAGCAGAATTTTAATATCTCAAGTTGAGTTTAATATCTAGTAAATAATTAGATATCAAAATGTTGAGAATTTCGGAAACTATTTAGCATACTCATTAGCCGGGTAATATAAATAATCTTTGTAAGTAATTTAGACTTGAGAATTGTTTCTTCTTGTTGCAAATATTTACAAATGTATGAGAAAATGCAATTATCTGAGTATCTAGCCTCTTCGGTCACAATGTATTCTCACCCCTGAATTAGAGTAACTGAAAGCTAACGACAATAATAATAATAATAATAATAACAAGTAGACACAGTAAGCAATGACTTCAACTCATCTGACTTCCTGTAGTCGTTTTCATTAACCTGTGTTAATTATAGAGTCAGTAGAAAACCAAAGTGCATTGAACAAGTGTTTTATCTCAGTATGGGTGTTTTCGGCGGTACGCACTCAAGACGGTATTAAGAATCGAATTCAGGATCTATTATTAAAATTTAAGCATCTTTAATGAACTGTAATTCCATTCATCTTACTTTACAAATCGATATTATTTAAAAGAACACCAATATTGCTATTGACTACTATTCTAGAATATTCTATGTATATAAACATGCATATATAATTGTAGAGCCAGAAGAGGAAATTATCGAAAAGGATGTTCTCTGCTCAATTATTTTGTGATCTATCGTTTTGTTATACAACCACAGCTTACCTTTGATTACTATTCTACGTCCTCATATTCTTAATTTTATTCTGATCCAATTTTCCAGATATCATGCTGTTGTCCACGCAAAGCAAAATATCCGTCTGGTCAACCTAGAGAGACTTAAAAATGAACTGGATGCAGAATTTCGTCCCACGGAACAAGCTGGATTCAGGAAAGGCAAGTCATGTGCGTATCAGATTGCTACTGTAGACATTATCATCGAACAGAGCATAGGATGATAGACGAATCTCCGCCTGAACATCATCGACTTCGAAGAGGCCTTCGACAGTGTTAATCGTGAAGTAATTTGGAAAATAATTAGACATTATGGACAGCAGTATCTCAAATCTTTACTCGCCTCGATCTACAGCTGTCTATATGACAATGCCACATTTCAAGTGATCCACAACAGGAAACTCAGCGAAGCCTTTGAAGTGAAGATAGAATGGAGCAAGTCAACGCCACCTACTATCACAGATGACATTCTCAATTCTGCTGGACTGGGTTATGCAGAACACCGTGCGAGGGGAGTGAGAAGACAGGAATATGTTGGGTGAATAAGAGGACCGTAGAGGACCTGGATTTCACTTGTGGATGCTGTATGTCTAATTTCACACAAACTCGAATATTTGAAGGCGAAAATCAACAATTTGGAAGAAGAAGCAGCAAATGAGGAATCAGGTGAACATGGAGAAGGTTGATATGATGAAGACACCCAGCGATCAAAAGCAACAGCCAGTACCAATCACTATCAACGGAAGAATTTTCCCAAAGACGTCACTTTCTTCGCTTATCTAACCAGGCACCATCGTCCCAAATGCAGACACATGGCACGGATGAGAATGTCTAAATCAAGATCCGAAAGGCAAGGCAGGTCTTCGTCACCCTGAAACAAGTTGGTTAATTTGCTACACTCAAGGTAAGCGACAAGACTGGGATTTTCAGCAACAATATGAAGTGAGTGGATTCTTCTATATGGGTCTGAAACGTGACTGACGCGTCAAGAAAAGCATTTCCAACCAGCTACTCTACAGACTTTTATGAACAGCTGCCACCTTCGCTAGCCCTATCCTGAAGATGATATGTCTAGCCAGAAAGAATATGAAACAGCGATCTCTGGGAAAGAACCGTTCAAGAACCTAATGCACAATGAATATGTGGAAATAAATGGAGATGGATTGAACACACGCTGAGGAGACCGACAGATGACGTTGTGTACCAAGTAGGCCACCGAGTGGGAACAGTGTGAAAAACGATTATTTGGTTGTAGGTTTGAGTGTAACATGAAGGAGATCGTGTGGCGAGGAGGAGATGAGAGACTATGGACAATCGTGGAGTGAGCTGAAGTCGAGTGCGGAGAATGGAGTGAAATGGAGATGTCTCGCTAAAGTGCTATGCTCCACTTGGAAGCAAAAGGAATACTAATAATATCATTGATATAAGAATAAAACTTGGGAACTGTGGTAGAGTGTAATTCCATTATGGGTAAATTTTATTTTGATAGAGTCTCACAGTGTTATACAGTAATATTTACTGATGACCAAGTTTCGAGCACAATTTATTGCTCAAAATCATATCAAGCTAATAACATGACTTCCTAAATTCATTTATATAGTTCCATTGTTTATCACTTGATTTCATTGGTAGTATTATTTTCCATATTTCGGGTATGAGTGATGATTCATTCCTATTGCATGTGTTGGGTGTAGATTCGATGAACAAAGATTCAGTAATCAACCTCTCTCTCCACCTACCTAGATTACCTTTTTAGAATTTTAACCCTCTCTCACCCTATTCTGTCGTTGTGTGTCAATGCATTGAAGATTTTTCACAATGACTTTTCTGTAGTACCACGATGAATGGATGTGCACTTATATATATATATATATATATATATATATATATATATATATATATATATATATATATATATCAGCGCCTCGAAAGTTGGTCATATATGACCAAGATTAACCTATAAACAGCACGTAAAGGAGAGAAAGTTGCGTGTCTGGAGACTACATACTAGGAAGTTACATATTGTGAAATATTCAGTGCATCACCTGCTATTCATTCCCGATTAATCTGTTAGGTAATACAAGTTGGTTTCAAGCTACAATGCATGTAAATGTCCTCACAAGCAGCGGATTCCATTCGGATGTTTGTGAAACATTCGTGGTATTTGATTACACTGTGACAAATGTCACCTTTGTCAGAGAAAACATGTGTAACCTGAGATTTGATTGGCGAAATATGGAAATAAGATTTACTCCATGTCGAAGTATTCATTTCTATTTTCAAGCACTTAGAAGGTAATCCTAAAGATTACACGGTACACTTATTAGTCTGTATAAAGTGTTGATGATTTCGCGTAGAATATCTGGAGTTAGGGGAATAGTTTCTGCAAAACTTTGCACAGCTATTCTGATGTTTATAGATTAATCCTATTGCTTGACATTACTAGTCGAAGTGAAGCCTGTTCTTCTGATGTGTTAGTTGTATTTTCAAGTTTTTTACTTTTAAGAACATATTCTGCAATTTCAACGCAGCTCTCTGACAAATACCCTAGCACTCAGTTGTTTTACACATTCAGGTGAATTGATAAGGATTAACTAAAGCTTCTATATAACACAAGTCAGTATTAAATAGAGTTTGTCAGTAGATAAGTTTGAGTGAAATTTTAGATAAATTGCAACTAACGTTAACCGTTTTCAACTGTGTTTGGTCTGTTGTATGCTGTTTGACGGATTGTTACCTTTGAAAGATTTCTTGGTTAACTTGTTCCTGATATATGTGTAGACATTATTCGGTTCCAAATGCCCGTTGTTCACTTCCCCGTGTCAGTGTCATGCCTGTCGGAATTCCTTTACATTTCTCGGATTGACACGTGCAGTGATAAATATTTGGGGCACTGCACTCCATAGTGTTGAAGTGGTTTCCAAATTACTTTGTGGTTGACACTGTAGACATCGTTTTCACAGTCGATGAAGGTGAGGTGGAGGGAGGTTCGACTGTCATTCTATGCTCCGTTCGATGATGATTGATGTGAGTGATCTGCAGCTGCATGTTAGCAGTCTGTGACATGTGTTTTCCTGTACACCTACAAGAAGCCAAAAAGTGCACATAACACTATTTGATCAAGTG